AGCCAACTTATGGTGACCCCAGAAAAGGACTTTCAAGGCAAGTGAGAAGCAGAAGTGGTTTGCCATGGCCTTCCTCTGCAGAGTCTTCCTTGGTGGTCTCCCTTCCAAGTACTGACCCTGCTTAGCTTCCAAGATCTAGGTAACATATATTGCATAGGGAAATATGTGCTGAAAATAGGAAAATGTCTACTTCTGAGTCAACTAAGGACACTTTCACATGGAGGATACAGGGACCAGGAGTATCACAGCACCCTCTTTGTCTACTGTACATGGCATGTTCAGTGTGAGTTTCAGATAGTGCCTTGTATCCTGTACTTCCCTTCCATTTATGTAATGGGGCCCTCTGTTGCAGAGCATGTTCTCACAGTACTAAGTGCCTTCTGCTTACGCAAGGTGTCTTGCATGAGTGGAAAGCACCTAGTGCCAGTGGACCATGCTTTGCACACTGAAGGAAAGTATGCTAATTAAGGGTGTGCAATTTGGGGGGGGGGTGTTTGTTTGTTTGTTCGGGTCTATTAGAACCAAAAAAACCCAAACAGAATTTCTGAAAAATCCCAGATCCAAATACCAGCAAAGTATTCAAATCTGAGATTCTTTGGAAATTCCGGATTTTTTCAGGTCAGTAGACAGACCCAAGATGGAAATAAACCAGGAGCAGCAAAGCTGCAGAACATAACTGTGTGGAGGGAGCACATTGGTCTCACCTCTCAGCTGTTTTCCCCCAATTTCTTCTGCAGTCCCTTTAAACCAGGCTGGTTTAAAGGGACTGCAACAGAAGTGAGGGGAAACAGGTGAGAAGCGAAGAGCAGCCACCCCACCTCTCAGCTGTTTTCCCCAATCTTCCTGATTCCTGAAAATATCTGGGTTTTTTTTTCAATTTTCCTGAAAAATCCCAGATACATTTGGGATGCCGAAATATACCTGAAAAATACTGATAAGGTATTGGGGGGGGGTATATTTTCAGCTAGGGAAGATCTGAATGGACACCTCTAATGCTAATGTCCCAACTCACATCATTTGTCTACTGCTTGTGGGATCTGGGTTTTCCTTTGTAGGCCTTTTAATGTTTCTCCATGTTGTCAGAATAGTCTGCCTTCTTTCTCTAAGTACGTTACAGCAGATAGCGTCGGAGGATAATCCATAAGGGCCACAAATTTAAGATCAGCAATGAGGTGTAACACAGATATGCCGTTTGTAGTAAAGAGGAGGGGAAGATTTATCATCTTAATATTGTATCAGTCCTTTTCCATGCCAGATATTGGGACATTTCTAATTGCAATTCATTGTTCAAGGGAAGATCTTAACTCTCATAGATGACTGCTTAGCCATTGCTCCTGCAGTATTACTATTTCTAGGGACAGCAAATGGCAGTCATTTGGTGTGTGCTTACTTGCTTTTTGTTTCCAATCCCCTGCTTAGCTACTTTGATCAGATATTGGCTACAACAGATAAAACTGGATATGCCACATAAGTCCGTTCTAAGCTACTCGTACACCACTGTATATTGACAAGCAAGTGCTTGCTGTACTCCCAGGGTATGCACCCTCAAAACAACATAAATCAGCCAAAACTTCAAGAGAATTTTGGTGCCTTGGAGACATTTGTCTGTTTTGCACCCCTGGCTTGCAAAATCTTGCCCTAGGAGGGAAAGAAGCAATATGCAACACTGCAGATTTGTTAAACACGCACATTCTTTCCTCTCATGTTCTCTAACCTCCTGTCACACGCATACACAGGAACACACATGAAGCTGCTTTATACTGAATCACACCATCAGTAAATCAAGGTCAGTGTCATCTGCTCAGACTGACAGCGGCTCTCCAGGGTCTCAGACAACAGTCTTTCATATAACTTACTGGTTGGTCCTTATAACTGGAGATGCCAAGGATTGAATCTGGGGCCTTCTGCATGTAAAGCAGAGGCTCTTCCACTGAGCCACAGGCTCTCCCCATTTAGTCATACATGAGCTTAAGTGTTTTCAATAATACTCCTTTACCTAAAGAAGCAAATTACAAAGGAGCTCTATGCTGCAGTTTTTAAAGTCATCTTTTGCCCAAGCTGCCTCTGTTGGCCACAGGTAGCCTGGCTGTATGGCCTTGATGCGACCTTGATTATGAGTCAAATGATGTGTGGGCAGAAGGGTGCGGACAGTCCCTCTTTGTCTGATGTGGGCAAGCCTGGGCTAAATCGTTTGAAAGCCACCTGATCAGGTTAAAATGTTTGTACAAACGGTTCGGCAATTTACCACTCAAAGAACAAAATCCATTTGATCTGATTGCAAAATCAGTGATTTTTAAAATGCTGCTTGTGCACAGTACGTTCTGAGTGCTGCTTTATACTGAATATGACATTCTTGCATACTGTAGTTGCCACCCCAGAAATGGTTGGCTCGGTTTCATACACCTCAGGGCATCGCACGACGATTGCTTTATAGAAAACCTGAAGTATTGAATTAAATTATGTGTTTTTTTGGCCTTGCTAAGATATTTGACTCTAACCATGGTTGCGGTTCTTGACACCTTGTAAAATCTCCAAGAATTAAAGCAAGAGATTCAGGAATATTTCATTGCTACCCATGTTTCCCCCAACACTTCCCCAAGGAAAAATATTTTATAATTTAGTATAAATGGTACAAAGGGCATGAGTATTAGCAAGCAATACAATGGATATTTTGTGCACTCTTAACCAATTGCACATTTCTCTTATTCATACAAAGTAGAAGTCTAATCCTAGTTTTAATGGAAACATTCCCTTTACATATCCTGTTCAGAAAGCTCGCAGTCCAAATTCTGTGTGAGTTTCTCTCAGCGACTGTGACGGCCTCTCTCTGTGGAAATTGTCACAGCTAGGAGCCTCTCCCTCGTCCATGTTTTCCCATTTCTTCAGTGACTTAAACCATCTAGACACAACAGTAAATATTCATTTTTAACAGCTCCAGAGGACTGCAGGTGTTAATTAAAAATTCAGTAATCAGGTTATGCATTCTGTCAACAGCATAATCCCACTGAGAATATCCTCTGGCTATTTGTATCCCACATTATACAAACTCCTGAACTTTTATGTTTCAGCCTACTTAATCCCCTTCCTAGGACTCTATTCATATATATCAATTCACTGTGTTAGGGGCCATTATTCATACAAGACAATGTTTCACCTCATCATAATCAAAATTAAATAGATACCAGAACTGATCACCAGCTGGATCCTAGGTTTACATTTCTAGGATAACTGGAGAAATCTTCTTGTGTCTTCATTATTCTTTCAGAGTAATTTATACCCAGTTAATAAATGCTAAAACCCATTATGTGATTGACCCTGAATTATACATCTCTCTAACTTAAGCCACCAGAAGCAGCAGACTCGGGGCTAAACCAGTGCCTAGAAATGGTAGTCAAGTGGTTACGGGACCGCCTCTCCTTGTATACCCCCAGGAGAGCATTGTGCTCACTTGACCAGAACCTTCTGGCAGCTCCTGTTCTGAGGGATATCTGGCTGTCCTTGGTCAGGGCCAGGGCTTTCTCTGCCCTGGCCCCAACCTGATGGAACTCTCTGGGCCCTACAGGACATAATGCAGTTCAACAGGGCATGCAAGGCAGAGGTCTTCCACCAGGCTTTTGGCTGAGGACAGCGACCCCACATCCCTCACATCACTTGTAAATGTTATGATGAATTTTTAAAAAGCTGTAAACTTTTGTAAATGGTTCTCTGATGTACACTGCCCTGAGCCCTATTTCATAGGGGAGGGTGCTTTAAAAATACAATACAATTAAATGAAATAAATAAAGGGAGAACAAGCTGAAACCGAAACCAACGATGACTGAGATGTGATGGTAGGGAAGGCCAGTTGCATGGGATTATCAGTAAAAATTGATGGTGTGATGGGCCACTTCTGTGATTTGGTGGGAAAAAACAGGAATACCATTGGATCAAATTATGTTCTTAGAAAAGCAAGTGCATATACATGGGACTGCCCTTGAAAACTATTTGGAAACTTCAGCTGGTAGAGAATACTGCTGAAGGTGGACCCCAATTTAATTTACTCAGTATGCTCTCGATGAGGAGCAAATTGTTCTTCCTCTGAATCCTGATCCTGTTACCTGCAATTGCACAGCACAAATACTATGCCTCTCATTCATTTCTGTCGTAACAGTTGACCTTTGCCATATAATTTTAAATTAATCAGTAGCACATCTTTCGTACAAGAATTTCACCCTCATTGATTGTATTTGACCAGGCAGATGAGATGCTAAAAAAATTGGAAAAGTACATTTATAATATTTCTATTCTGTCTGTCTTTTTCCCCCAATTCATGGACTAAAGAGAACAGTTTCATTGTGTGTGTGTGTGTCTGTCCTTTCAAAAGTTTACACTGAAGGTATGTGAGCCCTGGATGGAATGATTATTTATCACAGTAGTTAATGTGAAATACTAATTCATACTTAAGTAGCTGTTAACATAGCTTGTTCAGGGTATACGTAGGAAGCAGATGATACAGTGTACTAAATGGAAGATGTTATCTGCTCCTTGTATTGGGGAGGAGTGTGTGTGTATGTTGTCTCTATCTCCCACGCTTCCTCTCTCTGTAATGGCTGGTGAATTTTCAGCACATCAAAACAGTGACTTCCCTACCTCCATCCCAAAGTTACTGGGCATAAAGGATTCTTTATATAGTAACATTTTCCCCAGCATTTTAGTTATCATCTGCTATTTCCAAGGGGAGAGTGCGGTAGGATTCTTCCAATGCTTTTATCACCCCAGCTTCTCTGATCAGGAAAGTAATTTATTGCTGATTGTAGAACTCTTGAACTCCGCCTGGCAGCTGCATTCTGAAACTTCTCTGATCCATCCTCTTAGCAATTTATTTATATATTCATATGAAATTATTTTCAGGACTGCTTAAGACCCTCTTGACATTGCAATATCCATGTTTTAGAATCTTACGCTGTTTTGTTTTCTGTTTCCCCCCCTTCCTTCTTTCCCCTTCTCCTTTTGTATTCCAGATAACAGACGCGTACCATTGGAAAGGTCACGTTCCCGCCACAATGGATCTATCACAGCGGTATGAATCCCCCCAATGCCAAAGAACTGAAGAGGTGTTTTATTTACTTTAAATGGAGACATTATGAAAGAGCTTAAATGTATGAAGAGCAACGATGTCCAGAAATAAAACTTAAATGAATTCCAGGGAGCAACGATGAGAAGAATAAATATGTATTTTACGAAAGTTATTACTTTTAAAATCCACTTATTGTACGTTACTACGGCAATTCTCAAGAACTGCAAGCAGTGTTAAAAAATAAGATTCTGTATCCTCTTATTTAGTATTACGGGCTGCTGTTAAAGCTGGCAACTAAGGCCACAATCTACTGTGCTCATGTGCTGTTCCTGTTCATTTCAGTTGGGTTTGCACAGGGGAACTTGGATTGTTGCTCAGAGTGTGGGAAAATGTTGTGTATAAATTTAAGGTGAAAGGGGTGTATATGTGCTGCAAAAGAAAGCAGCATCAAAAGATCAGGTCAACTAAGAGTCCATTTATAGCTCTTATTTAGACATGAAAGGAAAAAAAGGGGACATTTGCATATTAATGAATTCAGATATGAGCTGATTTAGCGCACATCATGAGAGACCTTTTTGTAAGCTTGAGAAAGCACTGCATAGTCCCCATCAATTTCCTTAGAATCTTATCTCAAGTTTTAAGCATGATGGATTCAGCTATTTTGGTTGCAGTTAAACTTTATCACAAATCTACAGCCTCAGTGGTAGACAGATATATAGCTTATCACTGCTAAAGAAAAAAAAAGATTTTTAAAAAGAGAATGCGAACATAGGATTGTACCAAAGTTAAACCATATCATTTGCAGAATATGTTTTTAACTATATTTAAAGATGTATTTTCTAATTATGCACTTATATAAACTTTATACAGATATTTTGAGGGAAACTTACCTGTCCTATTTTGATGCTTCTAAAATTCATTAGCTTTTGTTTACGCTTTCAGAGACCTAATATACTAATATGAACTTACTCAAAATTAATTCTCAAGGAACACTCAAATAATTCTAGGAAAGCTGTGCTAGCCCAGGTCAAGGTGCCCCAAGCGATGGGCTGAAATTGTATGTGTATACACAACATTCACACACACACACAATGTAATACATCACACTGAAATGCCATTTTGACCGTGCGGCCACTGGATGGGCCAGAAGGCCAGTGACGTCGGTTAGTCATTGTTGTCACATAATCTGCAATGCCCTCTAAAAATTGCTGCTCCCATATTCCTAGTGTCATGCTACAATCCAGATAAGATTCACCAAGGCTGCCACAGCTTTTCTAAAATATACATGAAATATATTGGGGGGGGGGGAGATCTGTTTCTCAGGATTAAAATACCTGTGTTTACTGCTAATGATCAGAGAAGCTCACTTTAATATATGAATGCCCGATAACAAATATATTCCCACCAGTGGTTAACAGGAACCATATTAGTGTTGTACTTACTGGCTGGTGGAAAGTGTGGAATGGAGGGAGAGGACCGGAGATCAAAACTCAGGCAAGTCCCAAACAGAGTCAAAAATCCAATCTCAGCTTCCACTGCAAGGGGTTAGGTAACCACTGCCAAAAGCATCGAGAACCAAAATCCCTCATGCCAGCCTTCTTCAGAGGTGTAAATCTGCTTTTACTGTTTCCATAGCAAATGTTTCTGTGCCTCCCGAGATAAACGATGTAAATCAGGAAAGCTACAACAGAAGCCTCATTTCTCCAGCTCATGACTGGTAGTTTATTAATCACATTGTTTCCAAATCCCTCATGCCAGCCTTCTTCAGAGGGGTAAATATGCTTTTACTGTTGTCTTTTCCACAGCAAATGTTTTTGTGCCTCCCGAGATAAACGATGTAAATCGGGAAAGCTACAATAGAAGCCTCATGTCTCCAGCTCATGGCTGGTAGTTTATTAATCACATTGTTTTCCGACACATGAAGTTTTTTCCCATTTTATCCTCACCATAGCCTCATGTGTTAAATTAGACTGAGACATGGAGAACAAACCAAGGCGAAGTTTGTGGCTTGGGAGGGTTGTGAACCCATGCTTCTAGTCCAACATCATAGCCCCTATATTAAACTTTTTCCAGTGCAGTAAGGGATGGAGAGTAGATAAGGGTTTGCATCCATTCCACTTACATTTCTCCATCCGTTACTCATCTACTAAATTTTCAGTGCTGCATTTAAATAAAAAAAGCCAGCTGTTCATAAATAGTTGTTCTTAACTGCTGAGTAAATTATATTTCAGGAGAATGACTTCCATATTCATGCTGTCACCTGTTGTCTGCTGCCTGCTTCACTGGGGTCTCAAGAGGAAATGAAACCGACCTATTTGGATAGGTAGCAGCATCTGACTTCAGAGTCAGTGTCCTTACTAATTATCTGTGGACAAGATGATTTGCGTGACTTGGTTTGCACTGCACTCTTAGGTTCAAATTGATGAAAAGGAAAAAACGCCCTAAGTTATTATACCTGTATGGGGCAAAAAAAAAAGCATGCTAACTTCAGCAAGACTAGATTTAGGGTCTTTTTTTTTTTTCCTTAACTGAGTATAGCAAGACCCTTCCAGTAATATTTTACATATCACCACAAATAGATAGCTTTGCTTTCTAATAACAAATACAAATATTTGCAGTTTACAAAATGCTCTTCAGTTTCTCCCACTGTATAAAAACTTATTAAGGTGAATTAATAAGCATAAGGTGAACAACATTTTTTAACTCAGGAGTTTAGAGTTAAAGATGTGTTAACACACAAAGCCAAAAGTAACTCATTTGGGTGGACAAAATCTATATTTTCAAATGTGTAATATTTTGAAACAATGTAATGCAGCTCAGAGATGACATAAGTAATTTAGAAGCCAGATTGTCGAAGCAATTATCGAAGCATCTGTGAACATATGCTACGTAACCTCAAAATATACCACAGATATTTTTACTATAACATTAATTATTATGACTGCAGCATTTTTCATTACCTGACATTATGTTTTTAAGCAGCCAGCCTGGTGGTTGGAGACAGGAGGTTTTAAAGAAGCAAATTCCAGCCAAGATCAAATCCAGAAAAGAACCGTAATGGTTTTCTGGTCTTTCAGTTTTGCTACCCCCGTCTGCACTTGAAACACTGAGATAATTTAATGACCTGTATTTTATGGAAGCAGAAAGGGTCTTTCAAAGAAAAAAATGGTAGATGATATATATGTAAATACAGAATGCTTGTATTTATAAAGTCTAAAAAGTATTTTCTGAATTTTATGTTGGGTCACTGAATATTTTGATAGCTATTCGTTCTCTTTGAAAGATGCAGATTTTAAAAAACCCTTTTGGGTACGAGTAGGATTACACCACTTGTCATGTTTACTAGGTGAGCGAGTTAATGTGTCGCTGGGGGTGGGGGGTCGGAGCACCTTTTGTGGAACTGCACTTGCCTTATTTTCTAACTTTCCAGTGGGGGGGTACTGGAAAAAAATCCATATCCAGTTGTATTTGTAATTAAAGGAAACAATCTGTCAAGCCCCTTCAAAGCAAAGGCTTGCTGGATTGAGCCTCAAGATATTTGCACACACACACACAAACTCACCAAAGCTTTTTGCAACCACTTAAACACCATTTAGGAATCTAACACATATTTTAACAGAAAATGTATTTCCGGTATAGCAGAACATCAGTGAGCATTCACATTTTAAAGTGTAATGTGACTATAATTCTTAGATCATCATTTACATTTCTTGATGTGTTAAGAACAGTTTTTAAAATCTTGAAATGCACATAATGGAGCTAAAGTTATGATATTCACATTTTATGCAAAGATGTGTATCACACACTCACACACACACACACACACACACAAGCAGCTATGCCTCAAAACAATGTTGAGGTCATCAGGAAGGTATTGCTTGGTGCTACATCACTTAAGGCACAATTCCTGCTTCTTGCTCAAAAGGAAGTTCAGTACACTTCATGTAATATGTAATCAGTGATGATCCGGCGAGTACCTTTCCCCTGCTAGGAGTGGCATTTTAAATGTTAAACTTAGCCATTAATTTGTCTACAGTTTACTTTGCCAGAAGCAAAACTCCTTTATGCAAAGCTGCTTACTTTTAAATTGAACCACTATGAAGAATTTCAGAATAAGCCACTTCTAAATGCAAGCCCCAAAATGTGTTCCAAGTAGCTAGGTTTAGTGTATACCTTTTTATGCTGATCACGGTCAGTGAAACTTGCTTGTTCCTACTAACCACTGTTTACCAGCTTATAATATAATTGTATATACTTTAATGTTTAGCCTTTCTTTCTGCATATTTAAGAGTATGGGCTACCTCAGAGTGCAATTTAGCTAGATGCAGATTCCCTTCTCCTCTTCCCCTCCACAAAATGTAACTCAGTGGAAACTCAGGAACTTCAAAAGTGTCTTTTGGATTACAACCCTACCTTTAACTTGACCTGAGTTTGATCATTAGTTCCTAAAACCTTAATGCAGCTAGGGGCCAGTTCAGAAGACGTTTTATCAGATGTAGGATTCTTCCCAAATGCCCTCCCCATATGCCCTCTTATGACCATCCATAATATTTGAACCAGGTGCCTCAACTTCTGTGGTCTTGTGGGCACATTTTCTAACATTACAGAATCTGTTGCCGCTATGACTTGTGGTTTTCCAGTTCACAACCTTGCCAGTACAAGAACTCACCTGGGGATGGCCACATTCATGGCATATGCAGCCAGAAAAACCATCATCCAAACCTGTCCTGGGTGGGGCTTTGGGGTTAAATAGTATAAGAAAACTAAAATAGTAAATTTTGTTACATGCATAATTGATTGGTTCTGTGTACCTGGAAAATGCCAGTTTTAGTGGAAATGTGTGTGGTACCTTTTTTAAAAGAAAGTAATCGTAGGTGTGTGTAGACACCATGTAAAGGCAAATACCAGCATCCTCAAATAGCACCTCTGTCTACAGCTTAAGCATTTTCAGTCTCACAGACAAGTAAGTTAACCAGCCAAGCCAACTGCACTGATTCCTATACCTGCCTGCTTCCTTCTTCAGTCGAATCACCTTCGTTCAGATGAAATGGCAAGTCTATTGACGTATCATAATGTGGCTAACTATTTAAGGAAGCTGTAGAAACTTCTCCTTACCTCTCATGTGCCATAGTGTCCTTTTTTCCTTTAGAGTTCAAATAACTATATTGCATGAAATAGCCATTTCGACAACTCTCCCGCAGGTCCTTGTGAGCAGAACTCCAGAACTCCATTTCCCCTGCTAGTCTTACTTGCCCTGAACCCTCAGAAACCGAAACGCTTAGCAGTTACAGAGAAGGTAATACTCTCTTAGTGCAGTTTAGTAACTGAGGATATATAGATGGGTGCCAGTTGGATGTTGCCTCCTTTTATAGGCATCCATCCAACTATGCAGCTCCTCCAATGGAATGGATCTTCCGTGTACAGAAGATAATTCTTCCCCTTCCACTGCAGGTTTCCATTTTGCCCCCTATGCTGTTCCTGAGGGTCTGCTCACCTCCAGGAACAAAATTTTGTAGAGCTCAGTGGGAAATGCATGGAGAGTCCTGCTCCATGAAGTCTCTGGATGGTCAGATGCATTCCACGTTGTGTTTTCTTCACTATTTGAGAACAGTATTAAAACATCGTTCTGCTGTGCACTACCATTGGCACCTAGTGAGATCTCCTTCACCAAGCACCATCTCCTTGTTCCTGTGCGCAGTGTCACCGATAACATTGAGAATAGTATTCCATTCATGAATGCACACTGAAGGAGAGAAAATTCA